AGGCGGGAAGGAGGAAATTCCATTAAAGACAGTACTGGCATGTATTGGGGTTTGGCTGATTCAAATCAACCAGTACCCAAACAATGAAGACTTCCACTGTGGAATTTGAATAATGATTCTTTATGCTTTCTTTTACAGACACTTTACAAAACTCAGGTGAAGGAACTGAAAGAGGAAATTGATGATAAGAATAAAGAAACTCAAAGAAAAATGCAGGAGTTGCAAAACGAAAAGTATGCTCTCTGTGTTTCTCAAATAGACATAAGTTTTTCTATGTAGTACGGTCTCACTCATGAAGATTTTGAATCAGACTTAAAATGTTTAATTCCTTCAGAAAAAGACAGGTCTCAAAAGTGTTCCATAACACCTTGTAAGATGGCAAATACATAGGATGTTGCCTATGCTGACTCTCAAAGCCATATATGGTTTGCTTTGGACTCTATTTGTAATGTCTGGAAGAAGAATGATGACTTCTGAGAATTTAAGAAAATGCAGAATTTTGAAAAAACATTGCAATTTATGATAATCACCTTGCTAGTGTAACAACTTTTTTTTATTTGATTAAGGTATCCTGATAATTACTTGGTATATTTCTAGTCAATAAAATAATTTGAGAAAAAGATAATGAAAATAGTTTGAATTCTAAGTTTAGTATACTTCTGATTACAGCAAAACCCCTTAATCCAACAACTCTTACTTGTGATGTACTATTTTCTAAGTTAGCAAGTAAGGGAAGAAGTTTTTTAAGCTTGTCTTTCCAATGTATTTATTTAATATGTATTTATTCTGAAGAAGGAGACCGTAGACTTATGCATGAAGCAGAGTTTCTCTCTTCTAAAATCTGGATCTCTTGTTCTACTTGAGCATCAGCATTGCAAAGCAATGTAAAGGGAGGAGGGTATGTGCTGTGTTCATGATGAGTTTCAGTGGGCTAAGAAAGGGAGAAAGAAAAGATGATGTGCTAATAAATATGATGTAGGAGGACAATACCTGTCTATGCAAAGTTGTTCAGGAGTGGTATCAACTTAAAAATGAAAAAAGGGGGGGTGGGGTGTAGGAGAGGCTTCCTTTATTCCTTTTGTGTTTTTTTTTCTTTTTCTCACTTAGTTTTATAGATTCCCTTTATTCTGTTCCCTTACTGTTCTCCACTATCTTATGTTGATTGCAAACATTTTTCACCTGGATACAACTATGGGAATTGTGACAAACTCTGAGTATGCTTCAGCAGTTACCTTTTTACAGTAGAGGCCCATATGTACTGCAGAGTTATCAAATCAGGGTGCTCCATAGCTTTATGTATTTCATTGCGTAAATCTTTGGTGATTTTGCAGGGCAGGAAGGGCATCTGTCCCTGCAGCAACGTGTGGCCCCGTCTCTCTCAGCATGCCGCGGGCTGTGTCACATGCTGGTGGGCACATCTGACTCAGGGGTGCTAGACTGCCCACCGTGCTTTATGTGGGTTTCTTTGCAGGCAAATATACAGGAGCTCTGCCTGTACGCCAGGCAAGAGCGAGAAAGTTTAGCTTGTATGTTGAACTGGTTAGAAGTTGTGTTAACATTAACGGGATACCGCACCTGAGTTAATGCCCCCTGCCTCTCCAGCTGTACATAGAATTTACAGGCTTTTCTGCAAAAGGTTGCAGAGATGTAGAACCACTGCATGTTCAGAATCTTTGTGCGGTTTTCCTTATGTTCAAACAGTCTGGAGCACCCACCTTCATGAGTATAAGCTTGTGTGAAGAGGTAGCTAATACTGGTAGGGTTAAGCATCTTTCGATGGACCAAACTGTAAGTGCAGTTTAATTGTATTTTTTATTCCTCAAAGACGTGACACTTTGACACCTGGTTTCCTAAGGGTTGGTGTTTCGTGGATGATGGAAATTTTAATTGAATTACAGTAAGCTTGCTGCTGTAGCTTGCGTGGACCATCAAAAGATACAAGCGTACACCGTAGAATCTTGTAAATCTTGTTTTTATTAAGAGTGTAAGTTACTGACGATTAGTGGTATGACAATTAGAGTGGTATAATTTGGGTTTATTAGTCTTCCTGAAAATTTGGCGTGTTTTGCATAGGAGAAAATCTTCATGTGCTTTTTACAGAGAAACGCTCACTACCCAGTTGGATTTAGCTGAAACCAAAGCTGAGTCAGAACGGCTGGCACGAGCACTCCTTGAAGAGCAGTATTTTGAACTGAATCAGGAAAGCAAAAAAGCAGCATCAAGATATAGGCAAGAAATGACTGATAAGGACAGCATCATACGAAGGGTAAATTAATTAATACTGTAATTAATACCTGTGTGTATCTTCCAGCTGGAAACAGAAATGTATGTTTTTATTTTAATTTATAAAGTCTTGTGATTGTAAGTGGTAACTATTTAAGTATCTACGTGTTGGACTCAGTTGGAACCTTAAACATTTAAATCCCATCATGTGAACTCCCAAAGAAATGTAGACTTGATGAAGCTGAGGTGAAGCCAGAATGAAAATCAAGTGAATGTCTATAATTCAGTTAAGCCTTTTGTAATGACTTGTCATCACCCAAGGTATTATTTGAATCTTGTATATCTATGGAGCTATCTATTAGAGACTCTTACTCCAAAATAACTTAGTCTTTTAAGAAAAAAATACTTGAAAGTCTTGAGTTTTTTTCCACTGGTAAACTATGAAAAAAACCCAAACCAAACCCCAGACTGAAATTATTGAAGATACTTTATAGCATAGCTCTTGAGTACTAGCATCAAGTTTTGATAAGTGTCTTAACTGAGGAGTTTCAAATAGCAAGCCATATATAGCATCGTTATTTTATCATTATTGTTTTTTTCCCATTTAGCATCAGCTATGCAGATTTTTCTTAAGAATTGTGGGAGTGTAGAACTTCAGTGTAACTCTGGGTGTAAAAAAAAAAAAAGCTTTGTTAGCACTACCGCGGATATTAATTACATCTCTGTGTGAAGATGGCAGAAGTAGTGTTTGCTACACGTGTTTTCTTTTAGAAGCTTGAAATTGCCAGAATGCCACCATGTCTTAAGAAGCATTTAGTAGACTGTCTTTCTGTAGCATCGAAGGAGTACCTTCTTGCCAATACGTTGGTTTCAAATATTCTGATAACTTTCTCAGACAGCTCAATACACAATCATTTCTATAGGCTTCAAACAAAACCTCTTTTCAGGAATGCAGTTATGTCTCGTCTTTAATATGTATTTGTTAAGTGGTTAGCAAAGTGATCCTGACTGTGGCAGCTAACATCTCCGAACTGTGATGGTTTTCCTTTCCATGTTGGTTTTTTTTTTTAAACGTATGTACATGTTTTTCTATGTATGCTTTGACTTGGACCAAATTTAGTTTTATGCTGATTTATACATGTTTTTCATGATAGATGACAATTATTTAACAACAGTTACCATGAATCTCCTATAGCCTTGAATGCTGGAGTTGTATCACCTTCAGCTGCTTTTGTATCTGGATTCAAGGGATCAGACCTCTAGGTACTAGTTCCTCCAGAGTACCACAAATTAATTGAAAATTGCCACATTCAATAACGGACAGTCTAATCTTGCTTAAGTTGAGGTTTTGATTATATACTATAGTGTTGGCAGTTTTGCAAAGATAATGTAAAAAAAAAGTTCTCCTTGGAACAGCCTTCTGGTAAATCAAGACAACTTAGAAACATACCATTTTTTAAAAATTCAGGTTTGAAAGCTGGGTGGATTTTCTTGTATATAATTTGAGGAAGGTGTTCCAAGTAAATGGCTGTTACAGATTTAAGGGTATTTAAAGTAATATGTTATAAATACTTTTAGAATTTGTGGCAAGTTCTTCATTTTAAAATGTGTGTGTTTTCATTTAGCTGGAAGAAACTAATAATACATTAACCAAAGATGTTGACTTAATAACAAAGGAAAATTCAGATATCAGTGAAAAAATGAAGAAACAGGAGGAAGGTATGTCATGTTTGGAGTTTTAATTCATCTGTTACGAAGCAGTTCTGGATTTGAAGCGTATGTGGCAAAACGGAAATGGGAAATGGAAGAAGACATTGCTGTTTATTTTTCAAACCCCAAATAATAGGGAAGATAATGTAAGCCATTGTTTTCATCTTGAAAACATACCTTCCATGTAAATTGCACCTACTTTTAAAAAGGGTAGAAAGGAGGACCCTGGGAGCTACCGATCTGTCAGCCTCCCCTCTGTGCCTGGGGAGATCATGGAACAGATCCTCCCTGAAGCTACGCTAAAGCACATGGAGGACAGGGAGGTGATTTGAGACAGCCAGCGTGGTGTCACCAAGGGCAAGTCCTGCCTGACCA